GGCTTCATTCTGTAGATGCAGGGCTGGTTCAATACATTAATATAAGCAAATGTCATCCACCACATAAACTAAAAGGAAAAAAAAAAAGAAACCACATGATCCTATGATTAGATGTAGAAAGGCTTTGACAAAATGTGACATCCATTCATGATAAAAGTTCTAGAGAGATTAGGGATACATGGGACATACCTAACATAAAAAGACAGTTTACAATAAGCCTATAGCCAACATTGACCTAAATGAAGAGAAACTCAAAGCAGTTCCACTAAAATCAGGAACAAGACAGGATTGTCTACTCTTTCCATATCTATTCAATATAATCCCTGATGTTTTAGGTAGAACAATAAGACAACTGAAAGTGGTCTAGGCTACAGTTTTGAAAGGAAGAAGTCAGAATATTGTTATTTGGAGATGGTATGATATTATACATATATGACCCTAAAATTTTACCAGGGAACACCTTCAGCTGAAAAACATTTTCCAAAATGTGGCTGAAACAAAATTAACTAAAAAGAAAAGTCACTATGATGGGGAAAACCTTGTTAGCCAATTATCTTTAAGAGGTGAATCTAAGTTAAGGCGTGACACTTCCCAGGTGCTCTCTCTTTGGGTGATTCCTGCGGCACCAGCAGAACTTGGACTTCTCATTTCCTGATTTGTGAGTTTTTTCCCTTTTAATAAATAAAAATCTAATTGTTTTATCCTTTAGCTAGCCTGGTTATTTCTACATCACTAACCCTCCTATATACAAATGACAAATGAACTGAGAAAGAAATCAGGGAAATAACACCTTTCATAATAGCCTCAAGTTATATAAAATATTTTGAGGTAACTCTAACCAAGCATGTGAAGACTCATAAAATAAAAATGTTGAGTCTTTGAAGAAAGAAACTGAAGAAATCAGAATATAGAAACATCTCACATGCTCATAAATTGGTAGGATTAACATAGTAGAGCTTGCCATCCTACCAAAAGCAATCTACATTTTCAATGAAATCCCCATCAAAATTCCAACAATTCCTTACATACCTTGAAAGATCAATACTGAACTTCATATGAAAAAAACTAAACAAAACAAAATACTCAGAATAGTTATAACAATCCTGACTAATGATAAAGAACTGTCAGAAGTATCACCATTATTGAATTCAAGGTATACTACGGAGGTATAGTCACAAAACTGCATGGAATTGGTATAAAAACAGGCAGTTTGATCAATGGAATAGAATTGAAGAGTCAGATATAAATCCAAATATATATGGAAATCTGTTTTTTATTCTAATAAATAATCCAGAAATATGCACTGGGGAGGGGGGAAGACAGAATATTCAGCAAAAAGTACTGATCAAATTGGGTATTTCCATGGAGAAGAATCCAAATGGACCCATACTTATCACCCTCACTTTTAAACTCAAGTCCAAGTGGATGAAAGACTTCACCATAAAACCAGATACCCTGAATCTGAAAGAAGAAAAGTGGGGAAGAGTCTTGAATACATTGACGCAGGAAACAACTTTCTGAATAGAACACCAATTGTGAAGGTACCAAGATCAACAATTAATAAATGAAACCTCATGAAACTAAAAACTTTGTGTAAGGCAAAGGACACTATCAATCAGACAAAGCTGCAGCCTATGGAATGAGAAAAAAATTTTTTAATCAAAGTCGTGTCTGATAGAAGACTAATATCCAAATTACATAAATAACTCAGTAAACTAGATATCAACCCCCCCCCCCAAACAATCCACTTAAGAAATGGGTTACAGACCTAAATAGAGAATTCTTACTAGAGAAACTTACATGTTTAGGAAATACTTAAAGAAATGTTTAATATCCTTAGTTAACAGGGAAACGCAAATCAAAACTACTTTGAGATTCCATCGTACACTTGTCCGGTGGCGAAGATCAGTAATACAAGTGACAGATTATGCTGGAGAAGATGTGGATCAAGGGGAACACTCTTCATTGCTGATGGGAGTTCAAACTTGTACAGCCACTTTGAAAAAGATATGGCAATTCTTTGGAGAGTTGAGAATCCATCTACCTCAAGATCCATCTGTACCACTTGTGGGCACATACCCAAAGGATACTTGATTCTACCACAAGGACACTTGCTCAAATATATTCACTGTAGCTTTATTCAAAATAGCTAGAAAATGAAAAACAACCAAGATGTCTCCCAGCTGAAGAATGGATAAACAATATGTAGTGCATTTACACGTTGGAGTATTAGTTAGTTTTTGAAAAAAATGACATCATGAACTTTGCAGACAAATGGATGGAACTAGAAAACTCATCCTGAGTGAGGTAAAGAAAAAGCTAAAAAGCTAAATATGGTATGTAATCACTTATAAGGGAATATTAGCCATTAAGTAAATAATTATCAAGATACGCTTAGTAGATCTAGAGAGGTTGGATAAAGAGGAGGCCTCTAGGGGCTACATATGGGAGAGAGAAAAAAAATAGATTTTAAGGGTAGACTGGAGGCACATAATGTTGGAAGTGGAGGATCAGGTAGTGGGGAGATTAGGTGGAATCTTATTGGTAGGGAAGGCTATGAATTCACACTTGGAAATTTGTGTTTGTTTTAAGCCTGATTAAGGTTAAATACAATCAAGCATATGAATCAGAGGTTGGTTGTTTATTGGGCCAAAACCATGCTCATGTTTGTTACAAAAACTTGAATTTTGGTTGATAATGTCTCCTAATTTGTGGTGCCTTCTTTTGCTACGTGGTCTTGTTGTTTAGGTACATAGCCGCACACTTTGGCAAGGGTTAATGACATATTTGGTATTCGTCTGGAAATTTAATATACATGCCTGGAAAGGACACTGTGCTGAAGTAAAAAGATTAGAACAAAATGAAAAGGATCAAGGACCAGTAAAGACATTGAAAATATAGAGTCTGTGAAGACAATGAAGATAAATCTATTGATATTAAAGACAAAGAAGAGAGACAATAATTTCTACATTTTTATTTAAAAAAAACATAACAAATGACTCCAATTTGGCAGGGCCTGGACATAATTCAATGCCAATGAGCAGCGATAATTTTGTTTTTATTCCAAGGTCCCAATATCCCTTCCAAATATCATTCTCCAAGGCAGCATAAACGTTATCATTAGAAAAAAGAGACTAAAATGTGGGGAACAAAGGGACATTTATCCAGATCTGACATAGGAAGCAAAATGGTTGGGACTTTTTAGATAAATAGTGTAGCATGAATAATAAAAACCCAGAAACAGATATTGGGGTTCAAGCTGAAGATCAGAAAAGCAAAACATCCAAGCCACTAGAGAAGTCTTACCTCTACCAAAGCTGGGTTACGGCAGACTGAGCCCCGACCCTCTGTCTCCTCCTGTCTTAAATTCCCCTTTAGTGCTGGAATTGAAGGTGATGGCTCCCTAGTACTGGAATTAAAGGTGTGTGACACCACTGCCTGGCCTCTAGTAGCTTAGTTTTACCCTCTGGTCTTTAGGCAAGCCATATTTATTAAAGCATAAATAAAATATAACTATAAAAATAGACTGCGGGACTACCTGGTAAGGTATGAATTCTATAGGCTATAAAGGCTACATCAGTTGAGAAGACATAGAGGGCAGCCTTCGTGACACACTGGGTATTCATAGCATACAAAATAATGCCAAGTGAGCAGCAAAGCTTTTATAAGTGTGACTTACAGAGACAGTAATGTATTGGCTTGACTCTCAATTAAGTTAGGATTTTCACACCTGCTCTTCTGCTAGGAAGGAAAATGGACCCTCAAAAATGTCCATGGACAAATTCTCCAAGTTATATTCTGTTACACAGAAAGTAGAATTTTTCATGTGTGGTTGAGTTAATGATTTTGAAATGGAAACTTTACTATGGACTATCTCAGTGGGCCCATTCTAACCATAAGCCTCTTCACCAGTAAGAGGCAGAACTGTCTCAGTAGGAAATGGATTAGATATGCTTCTAAGCTGGCCTTCTAGATAGAGAGACCATGAACCCAGGGATACAATTTGCATTTAAAACCTGGAAAAGACACTAAATGGGATTCTCCTCTAGGCATCCTGAAATCCCAGACTGGACGACACTGTCCTTAGCCCAATAAAACTCACCTAGGACTTCCAACTTATACTAGAATAAAAAAAAATAAGTTGGCCTGACTTTAAGTCATTAAGTTTATTTTTACAATAATTTTAATTTTTACAATAGTAATAGGAACCCAAATTCTCATACAAAGCTATCTGTAATAGAGTCTTTTGGGAATATGGCAGGGGTGGTATGTTTGGGTTATATGATAGTTCCATCTTAATTTTTAAGCCACCTCCATATTGAATTCCATAGGAGTTGTTCCAATTTATATTCCCAGCGAAGGGCTCTCTAATAGGCTCAACCATGGCAAACACGGCACCAACAGGTTTTGCCCTTTACTATTCTCTCTCCCTCGCTAAAAACCAATAAATTACATTCCCAGGTCTAGCCCTCAATGTACATTCCCTTATTTGGCCACTGACTCATTCCCGAGACAAAACACAAAGGTTCAACAATCAAAATTTATTTTTTGTCTAATCAGGATTTACCAACTTTTCCTGGCACAGACTTCCCCCCTTCCCTCCTTAAAACTCACCCCGCTGTTGCCGCTGCTAGCTGTTCTGGGGTAAAAAATGGCCTTGTTCTGAGAAGTTGGTGTCTGGGTGTGTCCTGTACCGACTCCGAGGGGCCACCCTCCCTTTTACCCATCAAGAGTTGCAAAGAGTTACTTTGAAAGAATCTTCATTCTAGATTTAAAAAAAAAATACTGCCTGGTAGCGATAATAGTCTTATAATGATACAAAGGACCGGAAATCACACCAGTTTTCCTACAGAGGATACTGTTTAAGTATATGTCTAAATAAAAACATTCTGGGAGAACAGCCAGTGATTCAGCAAACTGTGGCATCACATTGTAGAGTACAATCCAGCAAGATAGACATGAATGTAAATTTAAGCTTTGTTTCAAATTGGATATAACAGGTAAAAGCAAGTTGTGCATCTGAGACTCAGCAGTGCTGTATCTAAAATAAGGTAAGTAAACAACATGGACGGAGGGGGGAGGACCTTGGACTTTCCACAGGGCAGGGAACCATGAATGCTCTTTGGATTAGAGAGGGAGGCTGGGAGGACGCGGAAACTTTTTTTTCTTATTCTCAATAAAAAAAAATTAAAAAAAAATAAAATAAAATAAGGTAAGTGTATCGTCCACTGAATCATGGTTAAAGGGATTAGTTTTATTTATTTTATCTTATTAATGATATTTAATCAGATTTATTAATATTAATGCTATTTGTTGAAATATTTAGCAGACTGGAGAGCCCAACCCACTTTAAACTCTTCCTTTTAAGGAAATGATACAGACTGCTCACTTGTTTATTCTGAAGGCCACCTTCCTAGAAGGTTACAGGGATTGCAGTCAGAAGTCCCTCGGGAGCTTTAACTATCTAGTTTTTGTCAATGTGACACAAATTAAAGTCGTCTGGGAAAGAGGGAACCTCAAATGAGGCATTGCCTCCATCAGATTGAACTTGGGGAATGCTTGTGGATGATTTTCTTGATTAATGATTGACATGGGAGGGTCCAGCCCACTACCATCTCTTGGCAGGTGGTCCTGGGTTGCCCATGAAAGCAAGCTAAAATGGATGCTTCTTCACAGCCTCTGCTTCAGTTCTTGCCTCAGCCCCCACTCTTCCTTTCCTCTGTGGTGCACTGTTCCCTGTGTCAGTCAAGCCAACCCTTTCCTCTTCTAAGTTGATTTTGTCATGGCATTTTTATCACAGCAACAGAAAAACCAACAAGAACAAGGAGACTCACAGGCTATTTGCATTGAGAGAAGAGATTGAGTGCTGGGATCAGGGGATAGTGTTAGGGATCACATCTCCACATAGGAACAAGACCTTTGAGACTAAGACAGTGAGCATAGAATAGTGGCTGATTCTACACAGGTGGTTAGCATTACCAAGGAAAAAAAACAGCATAATTTTGACACTACCCAATTCTAATTTCCCAGTCTAAGAACACTGTCTTCCTTTGGTTATTTTCCCAAGCCAGCTAATTAAAAGTGTCTTCTCCCTATGAGAAAGCATGATTGACAACCACCATCTCTTAAACCTACAGCTGTTAAGCAATGTGTTTCTTTTATCCTAACATTTGCACTTAAAATGGATGGCCTGTCACAACTTGGTGAAATTATCTGAGCACAGCCTTGTCCATGGTGTGATGCTTTCCTAAGCCCATCTGGGACAGGAGTATCAAGCCCTCCCTGGTGCGCTGGCTGGGTCAGCCACAGCAGAACCCAGAATAATTGCTTAATACAGTGCCACCACTATGTTGCATGCAGGCAAAGTCACCAAGCTTTCCCTAGGAAACTGGCAGCTTTTCATAAGAGTTTTGCCCAGAGCAGCTCTCCAGAAGGGACAGAGATGTCCCAACTCCACGGAGGAAAGAGGATTACAAATAAATATCTGTCTCGTGCCAGATCCTTCATGGAAGATTGAACAGAATGGAAAAGTCAGCTAAAATGCTTTATTTTCATTAAAGTTTACATTTCATTATCGAACAATCCTTGTCTGATCAGTATGATCCTTTTTCCATTCACCTTTCTCTCTGAAAATGGTCATCTTGGAGACAGACAACTATTCAAGGGCAAGTCCTTGACTTTCTATCGATTGACCTCCTCTTGGACAATATGATAAACCAACTATCATTTTCTTGTCACTCACTTGCTACTCTTTACTCATCTGCATTTATAGATACCTGATGCTGCCTGCTGCCTGCCTCTTTGATATGTCAGTCTCCCGAGAGTTTCTTTCATTCTGAGTTTTTTTTTTTTCATTCTCTTTTAGCATTTTTTCCTGGCAGCTCAGCCACACGCACAGAACCAGATGCTAACCAAATGTTGAACACTTCTCCTGCCCTGAACATTTACGCTTTCTCCAGATTCACATATCTATGGGTTACAGCCAGGTGTTCTCTCAACGCTCACAGTACCTAAAGGACATTTTTGCATTATCTGGTCACTTTGCAACCTAAGCAGACTTACCCAGGTAATTATAACGGATCTGGGGCCACAGTATCTAAATCTCCAACTTATTTCCAAACACCTTAGCCGGTGTTAGGTTTGAATTAGCACAAATTCTGATCCCATGATAAGGCAAAACACCTGTAGCTCCCTGATTAACAAACTGGCATCTCTTAACCTTGTGAGGTGTTAATTTTACCAGCACTCACATTTCCAGTTTGTTAAATTTTAGATTTTGCAGAGATGGTTTTCAAATTTAAAAGTTACTGAGATTCTCATGAATTCGGATTCATCTGCTACAGAAATAATATATAATTTTTGATTACTTCCTCTTTGTAAAAACATTTCTAGCTTTGTAGCATGTTGTTAAGAGAAGCTGTCTCTCTCTTTCTCCCTCCCTCCCTTTTTTCTTCCCTTCCTCTCTCTCTCTCTTTCTCTGCCATCCTCCCTCTCTTTCTTCCTCTCCTCATATGTGTATGTGTCTCTTGGGGATTGATGTATACATGTGTGTACACATGTATGTGCAGTTGCTCTCACCCATGTGTGCATATATGGAAGCCTAATGTCAACATCGATTGTCCTCTTTTATACTTCATCTTACCTTTGAAGACAGGGTCTTTCAGTGAGCCCAGAAATCACTGGCTATTTAGTGAATACCCTCAGATTTGTCCCACCAACTCTGGTATGACAGGCATATTCTTCAGCTGGCTTTTCTGTAGGCACTGGGGATCTAAACTCAGGTTCTGATGTTATGCAGTGAACACTTTAGCCAATGATCCATCTCTTCACCCCCTCTGTCTCATTATTAAAAGTGTACTTCATTGACTCCTGTGTATTTTTATTTAATGAACTGTACTGGCTAATTTTATGTCAACTTGACACTGGAGTTATTGAAGAGGAGGGATTCTCAACCAAGAAACTGACTCCATAAGATCTGACTGTAGGGAATTTTCTTAATGATTAGTGAGAAGAAAACTTAGCCCATTGTGTATGGTGCTACCCCTAGACTGAGCAGGCCACAATGAGCAAGCCAGTAAGCAGCACCCCTCCATAACCTCTGCATCAGGTTTCTGCCCTGCTTGACTTCCTGTCCTGACTTCCTTCAATGAGGGATTAAGATGTGAAAGTGTAAGCCAAATAAACTCATTTATACCCAATTGCTTTTGGTTGAGGTGTTTCATCACAGCAATAGAAACCCTGATTCATGAGCTTTGTGAAAGTTGATTGTAGTTGGGAATGGGGAAATTAAAATGGATTGCTCTTTGGGCTGAGGAGGGAGGGGGACTTGATTGGGGGAGGGGGAAGGGAATGGGAGGCGGTGGTGGGGAAGAGACAGAAATCTTTAATAAATAAATAAATTAATAAAAAAAGAAAAATAAAAAACAACCTTTATATTCAATTTTTTTTTGAAATTTTTATACAAATAAGATGTCACATTCAATCCCCCCCCCCCCAATGTGCTCTCCTAAGGACTACTATAGTTCTTGGAAATGTCCCAGAGGTGGCCAGTGAGAACTCTGAAAGGCAGAATAATGTGGAATATTCATTTCATTATGTGAGTTTATCTATTGTGAATGGTTTAATAAAGAAGCTGACAGGCCAGTAGCTGGATGAGATTAGGCAGGAGAGTCAAACTTAGAATTCTGGGAAAGAGAAAAGCAGAATCTGGGACTTGTTAGCAGGTGCAAAGGGAAGCAAGATGGGCATGCTGTATGGAGAAAAGTTATCAAGTCACATGCAAAACATAGATAAGAAATACTGGCGGTGGGGAAGAGACAGAAATCTTTAATAAATAAATAAATAAATTAAAAAAAGAAATACTGGTTAATTTAGAATGCAAGAGTTAGCTAGTAACAAGCCTGCACTATTGACCAAGAATTTATATTAATATTAAGCCTCTGTGTGACTGCTTAGGAGTGGCTTGCAGGATAGAAATTTTCACCTACAGAATGAAAAAGACATTGCATATTAGTTAGCTGCCCTATAATTCAGTGGTTCTCAACTTGTGGGTCATAACCCCTTGGGTCAGATATTTACATTATGATTTATAACAGTAGCAAAATTACAGTTATAAATTAGCAACAAATTATTTTATGGTGTGGGGGGTGGTCACCCCAACATGAGGAACTATATTAAAGGTTCTCAACACTATGAAGGTTGAGAACCACTGCTATAATTGGAGGAGCAATGTATCTCGTCTTTCTATTCTACTGAACAGTAAAGAAAAACCCAGATTCCTAAGGTTACAGGACAAAACATCCCGGCAAGAACAGTGTTTCTTTGCCAAGTTGGATGGTGGTCCCTCTGACATGACATGAGTAAGTTAGTATTGACTGCCAATTACTGGCTTTACTGTTAGTGCTGAGGAGACCTTGACACACAGCAGTGGAGTAGCAGGTAATTAGAAGATTTTACAAACTCATGCTATGTGCTCTGCCAGCTTCATTCACACATCTCTGAAACAAAGCAGTAAAGTGGTAAAGACTCCAAACCAAACATTGTGTCATCTCTCTTCACTAAAGGCTATATATGTAAATAGATGTATGAGGATACTGTTTCACTAAATACAAACTTTTTTTTGTTAGTTACTTTTGTAAGATTATGGCAGAATGTTTGGCAGAAATTAGTTATGGGAGGACAGAGTAGTTTCAACTTATAGCTATACATGCTTTTAGTGCCTTGTGGGGTTGGGGGGTCAGGCATAGCAGAGTTCACAGTGGCAGAGGCATACAGTAAAGGCTTCAAACATCATGGTGGACAAGGAAACAGAAAAACTAAATTCAGGTTTCTGGCTATACCTTTTAAAGTTCCCTTCCCTAATGGCTTACTTTGGTCAAAATACAAATTTTGGGGAATATGTCAATTCAAATTGTAACACTGTTCATTACAAAAGAATCTTTCACATATTCAAGTAAGGTGAAAAAAAAATCATAGTGGCAGTGTGTTCTTTCTTCAGCCGTCTTCTGACCATATCAGCAGACCATGAACAAATGGTAAGAGTGGCAAAGCA